CCTTTAAAGTAGGTTGCATAGGCTGTCAATGGAGGGACAGAAAGCGCTCAGATTTATCTTCATTCGCGAATAAGCTTTCATAAGGTAAGTAGACTTGTGAATTATAAATCATAGCAGAAACTCATTAACTCATTTCACCTGATGTCCAGTTTTGTTGTTCAGTAATCTCCATCATGTCCATCCTTTTATAATAGAATGTGTACCCCATGGTTAAAAAATACCTATACACCTATAATAAAATACCAATATATTATAAAAAGTATATATCTTCTTTCTAAATCATTCCCAAACATAAGATTGTTGTTTAGGCCATACATACCACGTAATATTAGAACAAGCACCTCTTAGTTTCAAAATACTTACAGTATAAATTATTTGTAATTTTATAGGTTGTTTCCCCAAACTTTGCATATTATTCCTTATACCTAGGTACTGGATAGGTACACTATAATTACAAAAAAGTTACGCTGTAACGTCAGTTTACTTACGCAGTTCTTTGCAGGTTGCATATCTGGTTGTTACCCCCTTATTACCCAAACGTAACACATAAGGGCCTTTCGCACCGCGGGAACCTTTTCATAGTACCAGAACTAATTGTGGAACTACCCACTTTTCGGCGTGTTCGCACCGCCGGAACTGGGAGCGATTTTAGTACCGGACTGCCTTTTTCGAGAACCAAATTAGCTCCTACTCCGGAGCAGGGTCTAACCAGCACAACTGGTACTAATCGTGACGTAACTTGACATTGATCACAGCGTCCTCCGTCCTCCTGTTGTTAACGTTGTTCTTCTTTGTTTCTGTTGTTGAACGCCGCGCACAAATGACGTCGCTATCGACTGGCTTACATCACTTCTTGGCACACACTGTCGGTGCGAATGCAACCCTTTAAATGGTACTGGGAAATAGTTTGCGCAAAATCGTCCCAGTACTTTAGTACCGTACATTTAGTTCTGGAACTAAAGCGGTGCGAAAGGCCCTATTGTTCCCTTATACCTACACGTACATTCTTTATAGGTACACTATAATTACAGAAATGTACACCGTAAATTCAGTATACTTACGTAGTTCTTTGCAGGTTGTAATCTAAAGCGTTACCAAACAGTTTTAGCTCATTCTAAGTGTAGAAAAGAAACATTTTATATCAACAAATGAGTCTGGGTTATTATAATTAAAGATTTTGAGGGATGACTACTAATGGAAATCTTTTTTTCTACTGCATAGAGTTAAAGTTATATGTTAATACAACCTAATCTCAGTTTCACTTTTTACAAAAGCTAAAGTTTGAAGGCAACATTCTTTGCAATTTTTTTAGTAAACTAATTCAGGTTTAGACCATACACACAACTGAAGAATAATTTTGCCTTTCTCTGGTCCTCTCTTTTTAGCGTCAAGAACATCGAAGGAGAAGTCAGGCTTCAAATTGTTGGTGACCCTGCCTATCCCCTCCTAGATTGGCTAATGAAAAGCTATATCATCTCTCCTAATTTGACCCCGGCACAAGAGTCATTCAATGTGTACCTTAGCTCAGTCCGAGTGGGCATGGAAATGGCTTTTGGTATCCTTAAGTCAAGATGGAGGGTGCTTCTTAAGAGGAGTGACTTCCACTTCAAGTTCACACCAGCTAAGATTGCTACCTGTTGTACCTCACACAATTTTCTTGCCAAAAAGAAGCAGATTTCTGTAACAGTAACTGGGTGGAGGAACTCGATGACCCCGAGTAAATTTCCCTCAGCCAAGTCAGCCAGTGCACTACCAGGAAACTGCTACTGGCAACACTGTGAGGTAAGCTCTAACTAGATACATGGCCAGGCACTTTCCACTTCGTAAAGGGCTCCTTTTTTAAAATATGAAACACACAACATCTAACACTTAGGCACATGTTTAATGAAATTCAAAATATTACATACATTTAAATCAGAAATCTTCCATACAAAACAAAAAGGAACAAAAAAGTGCCAGTGCTGTGTAGTGCACTAACATTAAGGCATATGCGAAATTACATTAAAACTTAAGATTTGAGATTGAGAAATATTTTTAAACACACAACAAAAAGAAACAAAAAGTGATCATGCAGTACAAAATTTGGCATCAGGGTGCCTGTACTAGGAACAACAATCTATGTGTGTATAGTTGAGGTAGTGTGTGTGATTTTGTGCATATGTGCATGCGTGTGTGATTGTGTGCAAATGTGTGTCTGTTTGTGTAAAAGTGTGTGTGATTGTGTGTGTATATGTGCATGCATGTGTGTTTGTGTGAGTGATTGCATGCAAATGTGTGTATGTGTGAAAATGTGCATGTGTGCATGATTGTGTGTTTGTGCATGTATATGTGCATGCATGTGTTTTTGTGTGCGTGATTGCGTGCAGATGTGTGTGTGTGTGTGTGTATATGTGCATGCATGTCTGTTTGTTTGAAGGTATGTGTTTTTGCATGTCAATGCAAATGTCAATGCAATGCATTAAGGCAAATGTAACAATGAACTTGTAAACATATGTAACCTGTAAACATTTAAAACACATTTACATTTTAAAACTTGTTCTTTGTTAATTCTGTTTGGTAAACAGTATTAACCATTTTTCTCTTAAATGTAAACTTTTGAACTCTTCTTATGTTATTCTAATCTAGATCTTGGATTGTGTAATCAGACTGTGAATTTTCAGGCTGGGGATGTGGGTAGGGATACTGGGGCAGTGCATATAAATGCTGTGTATGTGGGCGATAATGGTGCTGAGGCGGGGGTTACCAATGTGGAGCTGCCTGTGAAGGGTGAGGGAGGATACCTATTATGCTGCCTTCACGTGCTATCGGAAATTTCCTATTTTCCACTTGTCGTGATTACGAGCTTGTCGTATTCAAGTACTTTAATGTCAGAAAGAATAAAATGTAGCATCCCATTGGTTGACTATCATAAACATGCACTGCGCTACACATGCAGTTTGCTGACAATTCTGGAATTTCAGTCAAATACATGCTTATTTCACTGCTTATAAAACATACAATATGCTTCGAATGATTGTTCATATCTAGCCTATAAATATAGCAACAAGACAAAGGGATGTAGTTGTTGTGAGAACAGCATTGACAGCAGCAATGGTTGTCCCCTCCACCATGTTTAAAGATTATTACCCGCCCAACTCGGAAACTCTGGTATCAAAATTATTTCCAAATTTCCCAGTAGTAAATACGACTTGAGAGGCATTAACATCTAATTTCCGATTAGGAAACTCGTATTTACGATAATTCCGATAGCACGTGAAGGCAGCATTAGCCCTTCAAAAAGCTGGCCAATTAAAGGTCACATATTTTACACCTTTCTGGAGTTTTATTTTAAGTCTTGATGTCCTTAAGAATATATATTTGTGGTGTAAGTACCAAAAACCATCTCAATATATTTTTACAGCTCCCACACGTTAGATGTGATCCACCTCATAGTAACAATCCTGTCAGATCGTCCATCCTTTGAGTGAGAGTGTAACGTTACAGCTCGGCCGATCTGGTTTCGTGGTTAAAGTGAACCTTTGCGACATGTTTCCATGTTGTTGTTGTTGCTCAGCAATGGCATGGACGCGATGTTGTCTGGGGGTTTGGCAAAAGGAGAGTGGGACGGTGGGCGGTGCTCGGGGTGGTGACTGAAGGCGGTGACTGTGTAGTTTTTGTTTTGCCCTGAGCAATTATCGCAGTGGAGATGCACATCTGTTTCTCTGATGCCATAATTGCTGAAGAAAAGATGCAGGTATGAAATCACCGCATTTGAGCCTTTACTAATGAGATGGGCTTCATCAACCAGGAAGTTCACCTGTCGAGGAAGCCCCTCACAGCAGACACCAAACAACCCATACTTCCTTGGAACTAGAAAATAAATTGGTCCTGGCTGTAAGGGGTTACTTGGCAGGTGGACTTGCTGGGCATAGTCAAACAAGTAGTGCATAGTGATGTTGCGACTACATGGCTGATTGCTGCATAGGTCTTTGATGTCATTCTCAGCACACATTTTCTTGGCCTCTGTGACCATGTTATTGTACAGGGACCTCTCAGTTTGAACAGTCAATAGATGCTTCTCTTTGAAAGCAAATCTTAAGTGTCTATAAAATATTACACTATCCTATTGCTTTAAAAAGCACTGTAAAAACTGTGTGTGTGTGTGTGTCAGTGTGTGCATGTGTCACAGGCCACTATGAGCAAGACAGGCCTGTATAGGAGTATTGTGCAGGTGTGAGTTCCCCACCACTAAATTCATGTATGTCTGTGTGTATATACTGTATGTCTGTGTGTGTGTGTGTATATGTCTGTGCGTGCATGCGTGTGTGTGTGTCTGTTTGTGTGGGTACAGATTGAAAGCAGAATTGAGCTCTTTGTTACAAAACTGTAAGTGGTGGGTCATTTCTAGTTTACTTCTGCAGGAATTTGAAAGTCTCGTGGCATAACCGCTTTCCTTCCAGCCAATAGTAAGTCCTCTGCGGCTGACAGGGAGTTTGTTCCTTCCTTTTTGATAAGCTTGTGGTTTCAGAGTTGTTGATTGAACACGAAATCTTCCCCAGGAGGATGAGCATTTGGTCCCCTGAAAAACAGCAACTTTCAAACTAGCTAAAAAAACTGAATTTTATGGATCTGGATTTTGCAAGAGAACGGCTTACATCATTGTATTTCATTGTTTTTCACTAAACAATGACAATAAACTTCTATACTATTCTATATTCCTGACATCATGATTGTTAATGAAGAAACAGTTAGAAAACCAATTAAACTGGTTAAAATCTTAGCAAGCAAGAGGTACATGATGATTTATAAACTTGTCATGGTAGTGACCTGTCTGAACAATTTTCATGAATATTTTTTTTTACTCGGGGCATACTAACTGGATGTCAATTCTCTCATGGCTGCTTTCCTATGCATAATTTCCTCTGGGGTGAAGGGGCGATAGCATGGCTACCCATCACTGTACTGACAATTACAGCTAAAAACAAAACAATATCACTTTATTGAATATAGGAGCTGGCCACGGCAAAGAATCATCATATACAGAGGCAGACCTACATGACATCATCAGCTAAGCTGATGTTTTGTTTACATTTTGTCAAAGCAAAATATGCTATACCTGTGACATAAACAACTCATGAAAACCACTTTTTTTGTAGAGAAGGCATTTAAGAATGTTTGTGACTGACTCGCCTGAACTTTGAGGCATTTTCCCACTCAACCTGGTCGAATTCAAAGTCCGTAGAGAAAACTTTGTATTCTTCCATGGCTTCATTTTCCATAACTGAGTTGTAGTGGTCCAAACATTGATCGATCATTGATCATCCTCCTTTGCCAAGCCAGTCTCTGGACATTCTGTATCATCTTCCCAATGGTTGAACAAACGCGCTATCTCAGAATCCGTGGCTTGAAACGAAATCATGGCGGATTGTGTACACTGCACGCGAAGAATTCGCCAGCCAATCAGAGGCACTGTAGCAGGCCGTTGCAAAGAGGAAAACAGTTTTGTTTACGCGAGAAGGGTTTGTTTTAATGCTCTCTATGGGCTTACCAATGTAATGACGCTGTGGAGAGTAGATGAACCCGAAAGCAGAAATTCTAACCTTTACATAGATGCCAAACTTGAGTTGGTAATTCCCAGAGCGGGCAGTAGCGAGCGAAGTTTGTAGGCGTGTTTCCGGACATTTTTGTTCGCGATTTTGCTGCATCCACTCACAAAAATAAAGTTTTGATATATTTACGGTAGGAAATTTACAAAATATATTCATGGAACATGATCTTTACTTAATATCCTAATGATTTTTGGCATAAAAGAAAAATCGATAAATTTGACACATACAATGTATTTTTAGCTTTTGCTACAAACATACCCCAGCGACTTACAACTGGTTTTGTGGTCCAGGGTCACATGTTGCAAAAAATAGCACAATCATGCAGGTTTGCACTACACAACATCAGGAAGATCAGACCCTTCCTAACAGAGCATACAACATAACTTCTCGTCCAGGCCCTTGTCATTTCTAGGCTGGACTATTGCTCTTCTGGCTGGACTTCCATCATGTGCAATCAGACTTCTGCAAATGATTCAGAATGCAGCAGCACGTCTTGTTTTCAATGAGCCCAAGAGGGCTCATGTTACACCGCTTCTAATTTCTCTGCACTGGCTTCCAGTTGCAGCTTGCATCAAGTTCAAGTCATTGTTGCTCGCCTACAGAACAGCCACGGGCTCTGCACCCTCCTACCTCCGCTCTCATCACTTCCAGAAGCCTGCAGTCCGAAAATGAGTGGCGGCTCATGGTCCCATTGCAGAGAGACACAAATTCACTCTCCAGGATGTTTTCTTTCACCGTACCCTGTTGGTGGAATGACCTACCAAACTCCATCCGGACAGCCGAATCCCTGACAGTCCTCAAGAAACAACTGAAAACTTATCTCTTCCATGAGCATCTAACTGCTTCCTCGTTAAAAAAAAGTTTGTCCTAGTTTGTACTGTTTTGAACGATGACTGAAACCTTGTATAATGGGCAATTCACGTGTTTATTGCCACCTTGTGGTAGATCGCTTGTTGTTTTCCTCAATGTAAGTCACTTTGGATAAAAGTGTCTACCAAATGAATAAATGTAAATATACTGTAAATGCATGTCTGCTGATGCAGCAGCTTGTTTTCTTACACTCAGGGTAATTTCATGTGTGTTATACATGTGGGTTATTTCATGTACATGTGCAAAAGCGATAGTTCATACATACTCACAGCAGCATGTCTGTGGATGCATTGGCAGTAGCAAGTCTTGGTACTTGGTCTGCTGCAGCAGCAGTAACAGCAGCGTAGCAGAACAATTCCACCAAGAACACATTAACATTGTCATGTATATTATCAGGCAAAATTTTCAGAGAATTGTCATGACAAAACTATAACTAACATATATAACATATATATCCAAAATGTCTCTCTTACATCCTGAGTGTCCGATCCTGCTCCTGGAGGGCTACTGTCCTGAAGAGTTTAGCTCCTATCAGTTAAACACACCTGAACCATCTAAGCAATGTCTTACTAGGCATACTAGAAACTTCCAAATAAAATGTTTAAATACAAATGTAAAATTTGTGTGATATCCTTGCCAATAACAACATCCTTTAGTTGCAGGGCCACCAGTGATATTTTTCCAGTTGATGCTTTTGGCCAAGTCATTTGAAATCATTTGCTGCATTGTTCGCCACACAGTGTTTATATTGCGCCCTCCAACCAGGGGTCCGTTCTTCGTACGTGGATTACTCAGTTAGCTGGATTTTATTGTTGCTGATTTGATATGATCCAGAATTGTTAGATTCTTCAAAGCTCATACCGGAGTTGCTGTCATAGCAACAGGTTATTTCACGTAAACAGGATTAGATTGCGTCTTTTTAAGTGAAGGTGATATTGATAGTCTGTCCCAGCCACTGCTACTTTTTACAAGTGTGTCTTATTAAAACAGGAAAAACTATTTTAAAAGATAATTGTAAAATTATTTTGAAAATAATAAAATGTTGCGTATCTATAATAATAGACACAACCAGTTTTACAAATTTTTGAGATTTATTCGTGAAGGAGTATCTCATAATTGCATTGCAGTCATACATACAAGTACAGTTTGTTTGAGTCGTGCATTAATTTGAGCGGTGAGCTTTTATACAAATGGCTTTGATGCATCGCAGGAGATGACCACTTCACAAATCAAAAAAATGCTTTTATGATGCAGTTAATTTAAACACAGTCAGTTATGACTTAATAGTGTCACAGCATGTGTTTGGAGAAAGGGCACGGCCAGAAGAGAATAAGTCTCAAAACACATTTAATGAATACTGCGAACAGGGTATACACATAACCAGTGTTGGGGGTAACGCATTACAAGTAACGCAAGTTACGTAATCAGATTACTTTTTTCAAGTAACTAGTAAAGTAACGCATTACTTTTTAATTTACAAGAGAATATCAGAGTTACTTTTTCAAATAAGTAATGCAAGTTACTTTTTTTCCAATTTATTGATTGAGAGCTCTCCTGTCCCCATGTTGAGAGAAATCAGAAGATGTTACTGTAGATCTAAAATAAATATGAATATGCATTAATTAATCTCACTCACTCACAAAAAAAAAAGATTCAATATTCCTCAAAATTAATAAAAATAATGCAACTCAGAATATGACGCAAACCTGCAATAATTAAATTTTAAACAACACAAATATCCTTTATAAATTCCATTCTATTAACAAATGTCTTTGCTTCTGACCTTTGATGATCCAGTTCAGCCGTACTAATAAGCAAAAATTTCGTCTAGACGAACATTTGTGTGTTGAAATGGCTTCTTCTGCATTCTACTGTACGGACGTAAATTTACTTTCCCTTCAGCCTGAGGCTTATTCATTTCACTTTTGGTGTGAAAAGGCTTTTATATTTGCCAAAAATATAAAAAAAATTATTTTAAAAACAAACAAGCAAGCCCTGTCCAGATTTAAAAAGTAACGCAAAAGTAACGTAATGCATTACTTTCCATAAAAAGTAACTAATTACGTTACTTAGTTACTTTTTATGGAGTAACGCAATATTGTAATGCATTACTTTTAAAAGTAACTTTCCCCAACACTGCACATAACCATAAAGTAGCGACAACGTCAAACACCAACTAACGACACAGAGGACTTGAAATAGACAGTGTAAATCAACTTCAAAGGCAAGGCAGGTGTGCAAATTAACTAATTAATAACAGGAACACAAGGAAAACTAGGTCACAGGACAGAAAACAACACTAAAACAGAACTAAACTGTGACAGATCACCCCCCCTCCGGAAATGCGCGACCTCGCGCCAGTAGAGAGTCCAAAAAAGAGGCAGGAGTGGGCAAAGGGATGGCGAACATACAGAGTCTGAGGAGTGGGCGAAGGGATGGCAGAAGAGTAGGGCGGACAGAAGACGGACGGGGTGGCGAAGGGGCAGAGAATAGATAAAACGGGACCAGGGAGGTACCGAAGGAGGAAGGATCCAGGGAACAGTCAGGCGTCGCAGAGGGAGGATGAAGAGTTGAGGAGGATGAGACGAGTAGAGGATGACCAGAGCCCAGCCAGGATGAGGGCCCATGGTGGAGTCGCTGGAGCGAGGAGCCATGGTGGAACCAGGGATTCAAGCTCCTACAATGACGCCGGTGATGGAGACCCAGACAAAGCCGTGCAGACATGGAGCCTGGGCGACACAGAGGATCCGGAGGGCCAAGTCGTAACAACAGGCTCTGGCGACTGAGGCGAAGACGTGGTTCATTGATCTTAAGTATATGATGTCATTGTGTTGTTGTCTTGCCGCCAGCCAATCGCCACATTGCTGATCATGATTTCAAGTATCGATATATCTGCCCTTTCCAATGAACATCAACACAAAGTAATCTCAGACAACATAATCCAGATCTACTATATCAAATCTACTAACTTGTTTGAAGAACCAAATTAGCAATAGATCAGTTATCAGCATTAAAAGATCTGGGATCTGTCAAATGATCTCAAATTATTAAGCGAGCGAGGTGCAAAGAATGGACCACAGGCCTAGATTATTAATCGAAGAGAAACATATGCTTCTTATCAGATGCACGGCCCCATGTTGCAAGGATCTGTACACAATTCCTGGAAGCTGAAAACATCCCAGTTCTTGCATGGCCAGCATACTCACCGGACATGTCACCCATTGAGCATGTTTGGGATGCTCTGGATCGGAGTATACGACAGCGTGTTCCAGTTCCTGCCAATATCCAGCAACTTCGCACAGCCATTGAAGAGAGGACCAACATTCCACAGACCACAATCAACAACCTGATCAACTCTATGCGAAGGAGATGTGTTGCACTGCGTGAGGCGTGAATGGTGGTCACACCAGATACTGACTGGTTTTCGGACCCCCCAATACAGTAAAACTGCACATTTTAGAGTAGCCTTTTATTGTGGCCAGCCTAAGGCACACCTGTTTTAAGAGAATATAACATGAAAAGTGTTACAGCATGGGGATACATAAACTGTATCTGACATTTAATTCAGAATTATTAAATACAGTTTTAAGCAAGGATATATTTTAGAATATTAAATATTTTAATATCTAGTGTACTTTTTATATTCTAATAAAAAAATACTTGTAAATAGTTCCTTGTATCTCAGAATACATTATATTAATATAATGTACACAGATGAGCCAAAACATTATGACCACCTGCTTAATATTTTGTTGGTCCTCTGCATGCTGCCTAAACAGTAAAGACCTGCTGAGGCATGGACTCTACCAGAGACCTGAAGGTGTCCTGTTGTGTCTGGGTCAATATCACCATAGAGTGCCTTTCAACCCTCACAATACTCAAGGCGAATGGGAAATTAAAACCCACATTTTTATGTCATGTCATAAATAGTAGACACTCAAGTACTATAGAAACATATTTGCTGAGCTCCCACACATTTTTTTTAGATAATTATGGGCTATTATTTGAAACAAAAACCATAAGATATGTCCACCCTGTCATGGACATATATATTACTGTTAAATACGTTTTCATTGCATATTAAGATGCAAATTATATTTTCTAAAAGGTATGATGTCCCTTACTTAAACAGGGTTATTTGTTTGCCTTCAAATTATAAATACATAAAAGATTTTATGTAAACCATGTGCTGTTAAAGAAACTCGTACAATTCATGCATGTATTTTTTCTTATTTGGAGAAAACTGTGATATTTGGATGCAGTCTTTTGTTTGCATGTTATTGCCCCAACACCTAGCGATTTAACACACTGGATTATATAGATATGATTGAATTATTATTTTAAATATTATTTTAAAATATCAAGATGACAGGGTGGACCAGCACATGACAGGGTGGACACATAAAGCAGAACACACAAAGCATGACAAAAAATGACAATGAAACATTTATTTAACTTCAAAAAAATAATAAAATTACATTCTCAATCACATTGATTTACCCCCCAAAACTAAAAACTCCATGTAAACACCACATTATGAACAGAGCAAAACACACTTCTGAAAAGAAATCTAGATATACATTCACAAAAAATAATAACTCCACTGTTGCCCTGGCTTTAGCTCTGGCAGCTTTCTTTCTTTGCCTTTCTTTTCTTTCCTCTCTCAGTGAGGTCATTAATTCCGTTCTTCTTCCCTGTATCTCTATCTTTCCTCCATTTCTCTTTTTCTTTCTTAAGGTATGCTTCTCTTTGTTCAGGGTTTGCATCCTGACATTTTCTGTATTGCTGTGCAATTTCTGCTG